TTGGCGCTCTTCGCATAAGCCGCTCTGAATAGAAGCACTCGACTCGCTGGAGAGCAAGCTGGCCAAGGTAAGTCTGATGGGCTTAGCCAAGCCTAAATCAGGCTTCAAAGTCCAAGTGCGGTATCCGCCATCCAAAGAAGGTGCCTTGTCAGAGTCCAGGGCATCAAGACAGGGGAAACTACGATGATCAGACACCTCTTGAAATACCTGACAGATTAGCCAGAAAATACGGAAAAAAAATGAGCTGCCTGTGGCATTATGTAGGACCACCAAATTCAAACTCGCAACCTTTGCAGGACCCAATTACACGTTAATACTTCCTTCACTAGGTCACAGACACATTCAGGCGGTTCTCATGCCCTACCTCTGGCAAATTCTGTCCTACAGATGTATGGGTCGAATGGTCGTGGTGTATTCGTGGATGTTTATTCCATATCGCACGTGACCTATTCCGGTATGGACCAAGCACTGAAGGAATCTCATCAGTTCATCGTTCTGTCACTCAACTCTAGAGCCTGTAGAAAAGGTTCATTTGTAAACACCTTTCCTGGCTGAAGTCGTACTATCTTATCTTCAAGGACCCAAGTCGACCCTGAAGATCGCTAGGTTTCCACAACACCACCTCAAGTCATAACCAGTCACCTCAACATCAGCGATGTGGAATCAATTCAAATCATAAGTCACTATATAGTCAGCCTAGACGTACCGGTCGAAAAACTTTGAAGTCTGACGAGATTCCGCAGCCGTCTCAAGCTCAACCGAATGCGTCCAGACGCGGCTTTCCCTCCTATGAACCCCCTATTCATAATCACCTATGTGGTGGTTTCCCCCCCCCGGCTTTACAGGCGCAAAAGATCGACCTTAACGGGATTAGGCTTTCAAGGGATATCACACGATACGGTACACTTTTTGATTACACAAAACGCGCAATGTGCCCCAAGCACGCGCTCAACGATAATTACCTGTATGCAACCTCAATTATTGAACAATTTTCCGTCAAGTAACATCATTCATGGAAGGGACTTTCAGCATTGATGGTCTTCGAATGTTGACTTGCAAGTTGCAAGTCTAAGCCATATATTTTTGCCAAGACAGGCAATTTAGCCATGACTCGAGACGAAGTCTTCTCGGGTCCTTATATTTGGCGACACGCCGGCCTCGACTACACTCTTGTGAATTAGTATATTATAGTTCCTCAGAGCCCAGCTCCAGCTCCATCGGCATTGGTGTTGCATGTTCAGCCAAGAAGAAAGGCCCAGTGACTTTTAGATTACAGGACGTTGGTACAGGAGCAAAGACTCACTCAGACTATTCTGTAGATAAAGTAAGTACTCTTTTTCTTCCAGTTACAGGTCTGCTCATCAAAAATCTCATTTAAACATCGTAGCTTAGGCTCCATAGAGTTAGCTCGTGGTTGTTGGAGTGATTCACAACCGCAGTGCCGGTATGTCTACTCACGAAGTGTGAGCTTTCTCTCACTTGCCCGATCCAAGACATATTTAAAGCCTCCTTCCCCATGATATGAGAGAGGTATACGGCGTAACCTCCAAGCCATCTCGAACACCCAGATACCTTCGATCCTCGAAATCGACATGAAGCTATCCGTCCTCGCCGGCATCGCCCTCTTCAGTAGTTCAGCTCTTGGCTTGATGAGATGGGAATGCAGACAGACACCGAACTCTGGTTGGGGCGTAAGTCACAACCTCGTCTTCTATATTCCTACGACCCTCATTCTCTCAGTCATTTGAAAGCAACTAGCATGATTCGGTCAAGACTAACTTCGGAACGTGATAGGCGTCGAACTGCTCTCCAGATGACCAACGTCAGTGCACCACTTCAGCGTGTAACAGCAACGTGAGTTCCATTACATGATGATCGCGCATGCTGTGAATGGATGCTTAATGATATGAACAGTGTCAGCGCGGCGCTCCTTGGAGTAACGCCCGCGGATATGCGTAAGTCTTAACATATTCACTTTCGGCGGCCTCGACTCTTGCCGAGCCTTGTTTGTAGACATGCTGACGATACTTGCCTCACTGCAGGAACGTAGACCTTGGGAACGCCTGCGACTGCTACTGCTGGAATTGAGGCGGAGACATATGGTTGCAAATGAATGTATTCATCATCAGAAGGCCATTATAAAAACAATACGAAAGAGTCCCAATCTCCATCTCACGCTTGCTTGACAGCCATGATATCAACATCCCGATGCCTAACTTGTACTTCCAACGCAATATCTTCTCCCGATGAAAGTGTTCGTGACAATCTCAGTTGTCCATCAATAAACACATTCCATGTCCCAGGCCCCAAGTTCCTGAGAACAGGCTTGATTGTCCTCGTCGAGTCATCCCACGACCTGACAGTAAGCACCAGCATCCTCTCCTCCTCGCTCCAATCTCCACGCAAGAAGTCAACGCCATCAGCCAAAGTGACTGCATCAACAAACGGCCGCGTCGAGACGTCTTGCGCAGTCCAAGGCCGCTCCCAAATAATCTTCTGCCCGTCCTCGACATTCAACCTTGCGTACCCGATCGCCGCGTTGCCGGAAAACGGGTCCATGTGCGTCCACCTCATCTCGTCGTCAAACGGCTCGTCGTTGCGCGGGTAATACATCCCGCCGCGCTCCCACTTGGACCCCAACTCTTCGTCCGCGTATTTGAGCAACGCCGTCAACTCGGCTTCCTTGCCTAGCTCAGAGAGCCACTGGACAATATACCCAAACGTGGGCTTGGTATATGGAAAGCCTCCCTTCTTACCCGCCTCGGCCTCCTTGGCGTTGCGCACCGCCTGTTCGAGCGTCTCGCGAGAGTCCGGCGCCGCGCCGTCTTCCTTGACTAGCTTTCTGAACTCGTTGCCGACGACAGGTGGGTTCAGACGAATCTCGCCTCCTCCCGTGTTGGTGACGTACCCGAGGGCCTGGTCTTCGTAGTGAGACCTCACAACGGACCCGTTCCACGAGTTCATAAAGGCCGAGCCCCACGCCGTCCATGCGGGATCTTTGGGGCGGATAGTGAAGTCCTGCTTGACCATCCACGCGTCAGGCAGAAGGCCATCGGAGCCGACGAGCCCTTTCTTGTCCCATGCTGCTTTGTACTTTTCCAAGACGTCGTCTACGACCGAAGTGCCCAGACGAGCGTCTCTCAGACGCATTCCGATCAGCTTGCACAACTCGTCAGCGCACAACTCTCAGTTGTCAGTAGGCACATGTTGGTACTTACAGGAAACTGGTTGCAAACCACAAATACCATATTCGGCTCACAGCATACCCCAATCCACCCGTTCCCCTCCATCTCCTTGAGGATAGCATCCTGCAAGCTTCCCGCATCGTACGAGAACTTCTCCGGACCCATCCCAAAAAACAACGGATTCCACAAAAACTCCAACGAACCCGGCCTCTCAAACTCATCATCGTCAAACAACATCCCATACAACGCCACCATCATCAGCAAATGCCCGCTGTACATGATATTCTCCCTCACAACGGGGTCAGCCCACGGCTTCCTGAGCTCCTTCAGGTCCGGATCGGTCGCGATCCCGGCCATGCTCGTGTTGAACCAGTACGCCCACACGGCGCGCAGGAGCATCTTGCGGATCGTCTGGCGCATGAGCGTCTTGTAGACGCTGCGGAGGGCCGGTTGGCGGTGGAAGTGCGCGGCGCCGGCGGCGTAGGCCATGGTCGCGAGCTGGTAGCGGTAGGCGTCGAGGAATTCCTGGAGGGGCTCCTGCGAGCCCATGAGGTTCCAGTCGTTGTCGGGCTGGGTGACGAGGTTGTGGAAGTGGCGGAGGTGGCCTGCTTGTTCTCGTGTTAGTTTGGGGTGTTTGGATAGGTCTGGTGCTCGTGGCTGCTCCTGAGTTTCGGTCGTCATTGTGATGGTGGTAGTTGAAGACATGGCTACGATTCGATTCGGTTTGCGGTTGTGAGAACAACGGAAATAGCTAATGTTGGTTTCTACAGAGGCGCGAAACCGCTACATTTGACCAATAAATCACTTCTGTAAGAATGCTGCGAACATCATAAATAAGTCCCATAAAATTAACGGGGTTCGGAATTGAAACGGGGCTATCCGCCCCATGATCGGCCGTAACAAGCCGGACTACACCGGACCGTGGACCCCGATCAACCGATGTCAGACGAGGATAAACTTACGACGACCTGGAAGGAGTCGAAGGAACACAATCAAGTCTCCATCCTCGGCACTACTCGGCAGGGGTGTTGCATTGCCCGAGCGCCCGGGAGACTCGATGTTTTCCTTCCTGTTGGAGAAGAAGTTGCCGCAGGCGCGGAGTTTAGTCGTAGTCGAGCGGGGATATGTCTCCTGTCAGCATCCTCCTTGCGACTCCCCCGCGTTGGCTGGTTTTCTGTCTTACTAGAAGGATTATTGTTGCCTAAAGAGGGTAGTCGTAGTTGTGACGACCAATGGAAGGCCGCTACGGATATTCGAGTTGTCAGTTATAGGAACCCCTCTACAACACCTTAGTAGGGTGGCTTTCATTTGATAGTAATCGTAGTCACGCTTCTCGGCGAGGAGATTTATGTGTGAAGTGCGCATTATCAAATTCAAGAACTCTCTCACTTGGACGTCTTGTCCATGTGATCGAGAAAAGACGCCTGGATTTTTGCCTGCAGGTGAACGAACGCTTAGGGATGAATAGGGAAGCAAAAGGGCAAGAGGAAGAACATCTTCTTTATTGCTTCATGATACCACAGCAAACATATATTACCAGCTCTGGGGGTTTAAGAACCTCATTTGATTGTCTTCAAGGATCAAAAGCACTTATTTGCAATGCGATGGAATAATGCAACTCCTGAAGTGTCCCTATCGGCAAACCATGAAACACACAAATCCTCACCCCGTACCCAAACTCCAAATGCAGTCCCAGACTCCGTCCAAAGCCTTTTTACCCAGTCCGTCATTGATCTTCGGTATCCATCATTGCAAACTCCCAGACAATTCAAGCCGTAGCTCTGCAATACACCATCACCGCCAAACACGACCTCCTCACTCAAATTTGCCCGACCCAAAGAGGCCATTAACAGCCTGGTGTCTTCTCTCAGCACCCTTCCACTTCCTCGCCTCCCTCCTCTTCTCATTCTCCTGGATCGCCGCTCGGCGCTCATTCTCTCTCGCCAAAGCACTAACACCCGACTTCTTGCTCGCGTTCTTCTTGATTTTGCCATCGTCGCCGAAACCACCGCCACCGCCGCCACGAGCAGAGAAAGCCGCAGCTCCCCCATTGCTGGCTCCGCTGCCGCCAATACCACCACCGATACTGCCGCCACCGGAACCCTGTGAACTCAGCACGGACGAGTTCGTCGTCGCGCGCCGGAGCAGTGCAGGGACCCTGAAGCTGCTGCTGCCGCCGCTAGAAGCCGAGGCGGCGGCGTTTGGCATAGCAAAGGCGAGCTTAGAGGACGTTGTCGACATGTTGGAGGATGACTGCCGTTTCATGGTGAGGCGGTCAACGACCACCTGGCGCGAGTTGGTGCGGCGCGGGTTCTTGCCCGGGGAGCGGTTCTCCTTGTTAGAAGGTTGCGCCTCCTCGTCGTCCGCCTCGCTGTCCGAGTGCGGGTCCGTGGCAGGAATCACTTCGTTCAGGTCCTCGAGCAGACTCGAGACGGACTCGCGAATCTCGCCCAGGTTGGAGGGCCTCTTGCCGTCCTTTGTCCTCCGCGCGTTGGTGGTGGACGGTACGTTGGCAGCGTTGGAGGCGAGAGGTGCACGTTGCGCTCCGGGCTGACTGTCTGGGACAGTGGTCTGCTGCTGCTGTTGCTCTTGAGACTGCGAGTCCTCCGTCTCCGTTGGCTCGGGCGCGAAGTCGAGGAAGTCCATCTCCTCATCACTGCCGCGGTCCTCAATGGTGCGGAGGAAGGCCTGGTTGCCGGGTTTCTCGGCAATTTTCTTGATGCGCTCATCCGCGAAGAGGGCCTGCTGCATTTTCTGGAACTGACGACGCTTCAAACGCCGACGAGCCTCGCCGCCGTCGTCTGAGTCAGAAAGGTCATAGTCGGCGCCGCGCTTGCGGCGGAGCATACCGGTTGTGATGTCGTGGAAGAGCTTGTCGACCATCTTCTCATCGCTCTGACGCTCGTTGTCCCTGAGAATTTTGTTAGCTGAGAATACTAAAGCCAAGACAGAGGTCATTTACGCGTGAAGGGCAGCAAGTTTGCGCTCATCATCAGCAGTCATGCCGTTCTCGTCGTCAATCATCTCCTTGACGGAGGCAGCATCACTGTCGTCATCGCTGTCCTCGCCATCCGCACCTCCAAGTCCTGCATACTCATCCTCGGACTCGTCGGCCTGCTCCTCCACCATCTCCTTGGCCTTGCTCTTCTTGCGGTTGTACTCCTCCGCCTTCTTGAGCTGCTTCTGCTTCTTGACAGCCTCCTTCATGACGTTGAAGGCCGTCGTTTTGAAACCGAATTCGTCTACCTCGGGTCTGGCCCTGGAGTCCTCGACATCTTCGTCATCCGCGACAGCGGCTACGACGTCAATCTTGCGGCGCAGTTTACCCCTGCGGACGAGGGGCGAATCTTGCACTGAATCGACCTCGGCGTCCCTGTCCAGGACCATGGTATCCACGGTCGATGGGGGCGGCTCGACGAAGCGCTGCTTCAACGGCGTGTAGTCCTGCGGCCCGGCATCCTGAGTGGCATCCATAGAAGTTTGGGTGAACGGGTCGTCGTCGCGCAAGAGGCTGTCAAATCCACGCGCTTGGGATTGGGTGAAATGCAGGCGCACGCCCTCTGCGGAATCAGGCTGCGTGTCGGCTCTCTGGGTATCACCGCCCTGGCTGTCAAGAATCATGCTGTCGTGTTGTTGAGTAAGACCCATCAAGTTGGAGTCGGGAAGGCTGTCGAAATCCGGCATAGGTGACTGAGAGGGGATCGTACCAGGAGCTGCCTGGCTGTCGTCCATTGTACCAGCGAAGATCTGGGTCAGACCCAGACCAGCGGCACCCGTAACGGGCAGTCCGGGAATGAATGTCTTCTTGGCAGAGCGCAATACCGAGGTGGGAACGGCGGGTGATTTGGTGTTGGGTGCAGCAGGGGATTGTTGGGTTGCAGTCCTGGGTCTTGGCGTCGCTTCGATTCTGTCCTCGTCTTCATCATCCGAGATGACTTGGCTCTTCTTTGATCGACGGATGTTGCGCGTGGGAAGACCCATGTCGTCCTCGGACTCGGGATCATTCTCGACTTCTTGGGCCTCAACCTCGGCCTCAGGGTGTTCTGAGCCGCTGTCATCAGCTTCATTGTCGAACAACGCAACACCTTCCATTTCCACCTCGGAGCCATCATCTTCATCTTCATCTTCATCGACATTCTCGTCTTCAGAGCCAGACAGCTCAAGCTCGACCTCAACGCCTCCCTCCGCCTCCTCCTCGGAACCGTCGTACGACTCATCTTCACTGTCGTCCCAGACGTCGAGCTCGCCATTCTTCCTCTTCTCCTTCTTCTCCTGCTTGGCAGCTGCTCTCTCGCGCTCCATAATCTCTTCGGCTTCCCTCCTAGCGCGAGAGACAATATCCTCAACCTCTTGCATCTCGCGTTCACGCTCCTCGGCGGTCTGCACGACGATACCCTTCGACTTGAGGTACTCGAGACGCTTTTCGCGCTCGATCTTGGCTTGTTGACGGGCGCGCTGCTGTAGCGTCATCTGCAATTGAGCCGTGGTGATTGTTGCCTTTTCGTATTTCCTCTTCCTCTCCTTGGTCGGCGATCCCACCTGAGCAAGGCGGCGTAGATTAAGTAGAGATCGAGATGCGTCTGCCTTGTTTCCCGGGGCTCTGTTGAAGATGGCGTCAAATTTGCCGTTCTTGGCGATGGCCAACTCGTCGTCGTCGTCAAGGTCAATGACTGCATGGTTTACTGAGACTGAGGGAAGCTTGATGCGGACTTGACGTCTGGTTTTCACATCCTTGACGCCAGTCTCTTCAGGAGGTGCAACGGCCTTGCCCTTGCCCTTGTCAAGTCTTCTCGATGCCTCGAACACGTCGTCGAGGCAAAGCATGTCACCATCGTCATCTGGGTCAATGGCGGGCTGCGCGACAGTCGTGGGCTCTTGAACCTTGGCAGGGGAGGCAGCCTTGGCGACAGGCGGGGAGCTGGGCGGCGTCTCGGGGTCCTTCATCTCAGCGTCGGTCTGGTGCGCTGAGACGGGTGTGGTAGGGCGGCTGGAGCTCGACAACTTGGGATCAGACTTGGGTTGAGCACCGAAGTTGAAGCGCTGGAGGAAATCCGCCTTTGTGAATTTCTTCCTCGTCTTGGCCTCGTGGGCAAGCTGCATGTTACGAGCCATGCGCTGGGTCTCGCGAGCCATCTCCTCGACGGCCTTCTTCCCGGCCTTCCTTGTAGGCCTAACGGCCTGGCTGAGCTTCCGGCCACCCTCGTCATCGGTGATGTCAGAGACGTTGCCGACGTCCTCGTCGTCGTCAAAGAGGTCGACGTTGCTGATGGGCTCGCGTTCCATTCGCTCGGCGCGCTTTCTCTCCTCCTCAGCTTCGCGTGCGAGTCTCTCTTGTTTCTTGCGCTCGACGAGTGCCTGGAATCTGGCGTTCTTTGTGATTGCGGGGAGGGAGTCAGAGTCGGAGGCGTCGTCTGCTGTTGTCGTGGTAGTAGGTTTCACAGGTGACTGCCGGTCCGGAGAAACGAACAGCCCAGGACTCGACCGTGCGGCTGGGCTCTGTGGTGGTGGCGGCGTGGTCTGTCTATCCTGCTTCCTTTGCAGCCGCCGCGGTGCTACCGGGATGTCGTCTTCCTCTTCCGCTTCCCCCATGGTCGCGTCCTCGTCCTCTTCGTCATCGTCGTTGTTGGAGCCAAGCCGTCTTTGGATCCGGTCCATAAAGCTCTCGGGCTCGTCCTCTGCGTCTGAAGGCTCGGCGCCGCCCTTTAGCTGGGCAGCGAGCCGTCCTCTGGGGCGGAAGACGACTTCTTCTTCCGAGTCACTTGCTTGAGTGTCTCGTGGTGGTGACCGGCTCTTCTTTCGGGCCTGCTTGGGTTCGTCGTCCTCTGAACTCGTGTCAATGGCAGCCAAACGGGCTTCCATTCGTGCCTTCATCGTCTCTGGCGCTGGGCTCGCGCTGGGAGAGCGCGATGCGGCCTTCTCAGAAGCCATGGTGAATGTGGCTTTAATTTAAGAAAGGCAGAAAGCCGGGTATCAAAACATGAAAAGACTAATGTGAAGTTGCTTGAAGTGTTGTGTACTTGCAGGTACCAAAATTGCGTGAGGAGTGTTTTGGTAGAGGTGAGTGTAGGGTGGTGGGTGGTGGTGGTATTAGTGGAGTGAAAGTCAATTAAGAGCTCTTCGACGCGTCTGGCCGACGCGACGTGTTGGTGTGTGCTACCTGTGGGACGAGACGGGTCGGTGGCTTATCGCGAAACGCGGCACCACTGAACACGCCGATAAGAACTGCTAAAGTGACGCAGGACCCACCCGGAGTTCACACCGACCGGAGCTCTTATCGATAAGCGTCGCAGTGGATGCCGCTGGCTTCGGTGACATCTCGTTACTTATAAGGTGACCGAAGACTGAGAAGACGACCAACTATCCACTACATATAAATGGGAGAGATTAAATCATTAGATTCGCTTAACGTAAGTAGCGTGGGCTATGGGAGTTCTATTTGGTGTCTACCTCAGAATCGTGAATACACAGGCACCAATGCTACACGGGAAGCCTATATACCCCCCCTCAACTCCATTCCTGCCACCAGAACAGCAGGCGCCCGTCTAGGTCGGCGGGTCAGGTCAAACTGACTGGGTGGTGGAATGGTTTGAGGTCAACAATCAAATCGCCAACCAGCCTACTCGACAACAGGCTTAGCGTATACGAGTACCCGAGTTCAAATCCCAGCATGAGCACCAAGAGATGTAGCCCCCAAATCGGCACCGGGGGGGGCGAACTCTTTTTTGGATCCTCTCCCAGTAGTTGACCACAGCCTTATATTGTTATGATATTCATTACTTTACCATCGCTCTGAGGGTCTTCACTCGACCATCTCTACTTCTCCCCATCATCCAACCAACCTCCTCCCTAAATCCCTCCTCTTCAACCCAGGCACCCTCTCTCCAACCGACTTTGCAAATGTATCCACAGACCACGCCCTCCCATCATCATTGTAACCAAAATCCAACACATAATACCCGACCATGACCACCAAAATCAACGGCGCCGAGGTCACAAAGTACACCCAAAACAGCTCCCCGCCAGGCCCAAACGGCTTCTCAATCGAAAACACGGACGCAGTGTACGCCAGCGGGATGAACACCAATCCCAGCAGCGTCACCGCCTTGGTGCTCTTGGCCTCGCGGATGCTCCGCTGCTGCTCTTTGTACGCCTGCCTGTTGCCCGTGATGCCCGCCAGCCCCGTCACCGCCGCGTTGAGCATTTCAGTCCGGTGGCGTAGTTCCCGGAAGCGGAGGTGCAGGAACTGGAAATCTGCTGAGCTATCTGACCAAGCGGTGACGTTGGATCGCTCCGGCCCCGTCTTCGGTCCCGGGCCCGATCCCGGCTGCGGTGGTATACCGATGGGCGGCGCAGTGGATCCTGTCGCCGGGGGTTGTGTCGGCGACAACGGGATCCCGAGCTGCAGCATGATTCCTTCCACGTCCTCGAGATACTCCCCCGTCCGCCTCTCCCACCCCTGCATATCGCTCCAGAGCGCCTCTACCTTGGTCATCGGCAGCTTCGCGAGGTCCTGCTTGCGCGTGAGACCCCGCTGTACAGCCGAGAGCGTCGCGCGCAGGTGTTCCGTTTGCTTGAGCAGGTGGGAGGCCACAATCTTGCTCACAAAGACGTTGACGACGGATTCGGGCTCTGCAGTATCTACTAGCCCCGCGTGTGTCTCGAGATAGAAGGCGAGGTCGTCGAGCATGGAAGTTCGCGGGGGTCCGTAGTGGTGGTGCTCGTTCCCCTTTTCCCTAGCGATGCTGATTTGCGATTCTTCTGGGACGAAGTCGAGGTAGCCACCCTGATAGGGCCAGGTCTTGACTGGGTGCTCTATCTTGTAATCATCTCCTGTGCGGACGCTTCGTACCGGAGGATCACAGAGTACAAGGCCTAGAAGTCATCAGTATCAAGAATAAAGAGTCAGGTATGGCCGGCAACACTCACAATCCCAACCACCAGCCCCAATCCTCCTCGACCAAACACCACACTTCCTCCTCACAACACCCACATTCAAAAACCGATCAAACTCGTCGTCGGGCGAATTATCCCACCGAAACTCCCTCGACACCCCAATATGCCGCCCCGTCGCGGCGCACACCCACCGAAAACTCGTCGGCCGCGTATCAAACGTCACGACCTCGTAGTACTTCATCTCCACATGGTCCCGACTCCGAACCACCGACGGCAGCTGCGCGCCGTCGCTTTCGCCCGTCCAGTTGACGTTGTGCACGACCACGCGCTCATGCTCGACGAATACCGAAGGATGCAGCGAGAAGTGGTGGCCGAACACACCTGCGAATCCAGGGCCGAGGCCCTCGAGGATGTAAATGTTTTGCTGTCCTTGCTGTCCTTGCTGTGATGCTGTATTGTAGTGAAGGTGTGTTTCTAGGTCGGCTGGTTCCTCAAATTGTGCTGTTCTGATAAAGGTGCCGTTGTCGCCGATGCTGAGCTTGACGACTCGGACGCCGTCATCTGTGAAGGGGATGCGTTGAATTTGAGCCTTGGGGTCGCGCCGTCTAAGTCGAGGGTCTGAGGAACACAGGGGCCGGACAAAGTCATCGTAGGCGCCTTCGGCAAGCCATCCTCTATCTTTATCCATGTCGACCAATTGAGTCACGAGCCAATGTATTTGGACGATTAACTGGGTATGCTCAATGTAAAGATCGAGAGTACCGTAAGCAGACAGCAGCGACCGAGCCGTGAGTGAGGCGCTGACAAGAGTCACGCTATCTAACCTCAACTCATGAGAATCAGCTCTGAGTCGTGGAGTATTTGAGTAACTTCAAGCTGATGAAAGCAAAGCAGGCTGCCGTAGGATTCTTCGATCTGCGTACCCAGGGCTGAGAGATGGCGGGATAGCAGTGCAGTCACGCTTCCCCATCCCGCCCTGAATTGAAGCTATAGAAAAGTGTCTTTGCCCGATTTGGACACCGAGCGTGGCTCTGCTCACTCCCGGTATTCAGGCTGCCTATTAGGTACGAGTGTCACCCCTCACCTTACGCCAATAATAAATCCTACACTTGCGCGCCCTTCGAAATTATTGCAACTTCTCCGAGGGTAATTCTCTCGTAAAAGAACAGGCGGCGCAGCGACAAACATGCCAACATGGAGTACTCCTCGTCCCTCGAATGCCTTAGACCAACAAATGCATGCTCCCAAAATCAAGTAGCTCACTCTATGACGTTAACGAAAGTTCCTAACTCCCGACTTATCAATTAAACATTTGGTGATTTCTCAAGCATTGTATTGGCTCTGTGCCTTGATCGCCTCGCCGATATTGATCCAGTCAAGCTTTTCTCAGTCAGCCTTACACAAAGTAGATATTGACGCGATGCCAAGACGACCAACTCGGTGTCCGAAAGAGGGAGACTTACCAAAACGACATTCGCTGTCCTTCCCCACATCCCTCTGCACAAGTTGACCTGCTTGTCAATGGACGACAAGGAATTTGTCTTTGGCGCTTCAATCTGATTGGGGATCTTAATGCCTGCGAAGAGCTCAATGTCGAGGAAGTGGTTGACAAGGTACATGTAGCCATTGGGATCGACACCCTGTGGCCGGTCGATGTTGCAGTTGGGAAAATTCGCATTCGTCTCCCCAAAGGGAGTCTCCCAGTAGTACTGGAATTCGTCTAGAATGTAGTCGACTTTACTCGTGTCGGCGTGATAGTCTGTCGTACTCAGTCACTGCCCATAAGTTTCAAAAGATGCTTAGAGACATACCCATGAAAACGACCAGTCTCGTCCCGTCATCAATCAAAGTCTGAAGTGTAGGCCACTGGTCTATAGCCACTTTCTCCCCAGGCTTGAAGACGTACTTATCCAACCCCGTACTGTTGAAAGTGTCGCCAAATTGAGTGACCGGCATTGCGTCAATGTTAGTGAGAAGCAAGGTGACCACTTCACGCGGATGCGCCTCCATCCAAGTGTCTATCTCTTCGAGATACTTGGACAAGGGCCCCGAGTCTAACAGAGCGCAGTCCGTATGGCACATCTGGATCTGTCCGTCCTTGTTCTGGGTCTGAGCTTGTAGGAAGCGTACGCCGAGATCGAGCTGGTCCGTTACCGACACATATTGATTGTGGGCCGGAGTGATGCCAACAAAGGCACTGTTGTGGGATCCGACAAACGTCACGTCAGAATACTTCTTTGCGCAGAGAGCGTCATTGCCGTTACAAGCCGCCGCGGCGACAACGCCTACGAAGGCCGGCAGGAAGAAAGCAACGCGCATAGTGATAAGGCAGCGACGGATACAGACGGAGGAATCAGGATCGTCATCTTCTTGAGGTTCCCACCAGCTGGTATATAATCAAGGTAATCAAGCACAGCAAATTTTCAGCCGTCAGGGGCCTGGCGATAGCTTAAAGTGACATCTCGGACGGGTTAGCGAATCAAAAGTCATATCGGACATCTGCCAACACTCTGGACGAAGACCTTGGGAGGCCAACAGACCGAATTTGGAAGCGCGTGTTGATCTAGAGCTGAATGACCCCTCATAATGGAACGATCCGACATGTGAGCGATGGCACCCAAGAGCCATGTTTCTGCGGACTGTTGCCATTGAAGTGACGGCTCGTGTTCGTGTGATTGGGTCATGGCGTAACCTGGAGATCAGGTAGGTGGGATTAAGACGGAGAGGGGTTCTCGAAGGCTTGAGATGCCTGTCCAGACGGGCAGCTTTGCCACATCCATCGACCAGTCAGTTGGATTAGCTTCTGTGAACTCATGGCCATAAGCTAACGCATGTATGGGCATTTGAACTTGCCATCGACGCTTGGGAACAAAGGTGAGGGGAATAGAAGAACGATTATCGTTTTCTTGGCAATGGGATAGAGTCAATGTGGCCGGCATTTCAACGCTTCGAAGGCCTCCTCGGTCAATGATGCTTGGTCTTTTGTGGCCCATGGCTGCCAACTTCATGCGCCACACCTCTCTTGTTGGAGGATATGGTTGTTGGAAAGGGTGGATTGGCTGCCGTGAGAAGAATTGAAGAAAAGAGGCCTGCTTTAGTCGTTAAGTGAAACATGGAGGTTGACGAATGACGGTCTCGGAACGGGAGGCTTCGAAAGGGGCGGGTGGCGGAAGTCATCAGGGCACGGCAGGCGCACGGCAGGCGCAGAAGGGGCCACTGGGGGCTGCAAAGGCGCTAACGCCGGTAGTGGCAGGGGCCGTTCAGGGGAGAAGCTCTTGGTGGGCAGCTGGCATCCACACTTGCTGACCTTATTCGCTGGGGCCATCTGCAGCTCTATGTGGCTGCAATCTCCTCCTGCCCTCTACGGCAATGTGATCTTCTTCCCAGAACAACGTCACGAGAGACATCGTTGCAGCTACAACCCTCAAACTCGACAACCTCGGTCACTGCTGTTCTTAAAAAATCCATCACGGCATCATCTTCGTTCGCGCACGTGGTTCACCTTCTTGCTGTGGTCCGCCTGCAGATATTGAGGTTACACAGACTCTGGCTATGTTCAGGTTGCGACCATGTTCACGATACTTTCTGCTTGGTGGTAATCCCAAGTGTCTACAGTCGTTCGGGCTGCATCGAGACTTTGCTCAAGAACATCCACACATCTCGGGATGATTCTAGCTTCATGACAGTCTGAACTTGTGAAGAACGTCCCTCTTGGCGGGCAAGCGTTGACAACGAGACGAGCCGCACGCGTTTGTCGTTTAGGCGCCTACGAAAAAGCATGCACGGCTCACATTTGACGATATTTCCTCTGCTATGATGCTCCAAAGCAAGGGGATCTGGACGATGATCCCTATGCCGCACTGAGAAAATGGGTTCCTTACCGAAAGTTGAACAGGGTCTAGTTCAACCAAGGTATTCACTAGGCTCAACACCTTTTGTCAGGAAATCGTCGCAACTGAATCAGAATTCGCGCTATTCGTCCCTTCACCACTTTGGTCTCCGTCTCATTGAAGCAATTTCGAGGCGCAGTGCTCTTCGCACTTCGGACGAAGCCAAGACACGCAACCTTACGGGCAAGAAGACCTCGGATCGTGACAATGGGATGCTAGCAACGGCCAAAGGAGGCCCCCTTCGTCTTATTTGTCCTGCTAGCCTCCACCGATGGACCCGTTCTACCCGGTAGCTCCGTTTGTGTGTTGCACGAAGCTAGACAACCTTAACGTGCTCCCGGCAGTCGTCTTCCAGAGTATGTCCATTTCATGGTAGAATGGCTTGGCCACTTCTTGTTCCCGATCCTTGTGAGATCTTTGGCCGGGCTACCCTGATCATCGTCGAGCACACCGACCCGGACTTTGGGGTTCATGGTACGCGTACAGCATGACTGACGCGTCGAAATCAACGATCTAGTTCTCCAACTTGCCACTATGAGCTTGGAAAGATTTGTGTATCTGAAAACCCGGGCCGGGTTTGAAGCAATAAGCACGATCTGGTTGACGAAACTCATCTGCATATCGTGGAAGAATTGCACTGATCGATGGGGAGCCTCAAAACTGGTGATCTTCGATGAAAAAGGCCGTCTAGACACCGAAAGCGAGAATGCGATGATGCCGCGAAGGAGTTCACAGATCAGCATGGTCTCCAAACCCGACGAGCGCGCAGCAATGACAATTCATGAGACAAGCGAGATGGAACCCACCATGACCAGGTCGAGGTCTGGGGATCACCAAAACTAAACAAACTCAGATTGCGACCCAACGAGGCTGCAGATTTCTCACCTGTGTCGCAAAAGGGAGCTAGGTGGCCTGCACAGCCCTCAGAACAAGCATATCCGCCGATCGACGTCATCCCCATTTGGTTATGCTTGCTTTCTTGCGCAGCGGATTTACCGGCAGATCCCCCTCCTCAGTCCCTCACACCGTCGAGTTCGACTACACCACCTTGTCCACCTTGTCCACCTTGCCGGGGCCCTCGGTCGGCTAAACTGCGTAGAGAGCAGAGGGGGAAGGGCAAAGGGGGAAACAACCGTGCGCATCGTGGACGAAACATGGAATTCCTCCGACGTCCGAGTTCGTGCCTCTCTTTGCCTAGAGTTTCGCCAAGGGCTGTCAATCGGCTCGTCGAAGGCTTGTCACAACTCGAGTCGAGACGGCATCCCATTGCCGAGCTTTCGTCCCGCCTACTGGTCCTGCCAAGCCATGTCAACGGCCGGCTGGGAATGTCACAATGTCACGTCGTTCACGTCTCTTCGATGACGGTTCGAAGTTTGTCGTGAACTATCCTCTGATCAACATCCCACCACCACGGGCGCAGGTCATCTAACTTTCATGAGTAATATCGCCCCAGCTCCCTATGGAGAAAGGGACCACAATCTAAGTCTATCCGTCTTCTTTCCGAAGACCGAAACGAAAGCGGAGTCTTATCTACCTTGTGTACGGATAGAATCTCTGCCTACGCACTCTCAACTTCTACCTCATATGTCCTTCTGCCTCTGAGTGGAACCCGGCCACGGTGAGTCGAGCTGTGTCGAGAGATCCGGGGCCCTTACCCAACAAGGCATGGTGGCATGGCCTCGACGCTCTCCCGTACTCGGAGTATGGATACCTGAGGGGCGCCCACTTGCCTCCCGGAGCTTCCTGAGCACGAATGGAGACGCTTCTCTCGCGAATTACGTGGTGTTTGGGCCCGTCT